CTTCTGCTGTTTTCCCGTCGTCTTCTCTATTTCATCTAAATCATTATATTCCTGTAAACTTCCTTTCATCCCTTTGTCCTCTCCCTCCCTCACTTCTCTGCTTTCCTCCATAAGCTTCACTCTCCTCCTCTCCTCTCATCCTCAGAACCAGGCCAAGAACCACAATCCATACGCTCTTAATAAGCGTTGAAAAGAGATGGAAAGTCCTCCCTCCCTCTGTGTCTGTGACAGTTTCTATCTACCGTTCAGATCTTTTCTGTTTTCTCTCTTTGGCTGTCTTTCTTTCTTCTCCACGTTGTGTTTTCCTCTAACAAAGCCTCTACGAACACACACACACACACACACACACACAGGCGCCACACACACACAACACACACACACACACACACACCCACACACAACAGACCCACACACACACACACACACACACACCACACACACACACACATACACCCCACCACACATTGCCTTCTAATCGCAATGTTCCCTCCTCTCCAAAGCCTGCCCTGCTCCCCACGCGCTTCAGATTCGGCCATTTCTTTCTGAATGCTCCAGGTGCCGCAGGATGAGAGAGAACAATGCAGAAGCAGCTTTGTCATCTCTGAAACGTCTGCGTCGCAGGATTAAGATTTCACTTTGGCTTTCCAGATGCTGCAGTCACTGCCTGAGTGAAAACATACTTTTACAGGCAATAACTATAGAGTAAAGGAGCGGACACATTTGTTGAACTTGGGCATCTGCTAATAAATCAAGAGCGACGTTTTCGATGTTACCTTATAATTGTAAGTCAATCTTTTTTTCCATGAAATTAGGTATCAAACTAACAATTATTTAATATCTAATCTGCAACACTGTTTACTTGACGGATAATTATAACACAAATGTGCCGACAACTCATGCAAGAGAAACGTCTCATCATCTGTGAAACCCATGCGCTGATTCTAAAAAACATTCACCAACTTGATGAAAAATACTTAACATTTACTAAAGCCGCTGCATGAAAGAAACGCTGTACAATAAGAACCGCTGCAATAAGCTCAAAACACATTCATTCATTTAAACAATACAAACATCTGTATGGTCCATGTGTTACACGTATAATGACAGTTTCATAGGTTTTCATGATGTTCTTCAGTCTGAACCTATGTACACGCCACAATCCTGGTCAGGGTAAAGTTAATGTTAAATAAATACCCCTGAAAAAAATGGGGACACCTGCAGTAAGTTGGAAACATTCATAATTAGTTTGTCATTTTTTGTTCTTCACAAGAATAATAAAGCTATAGTCGGCCCAGTTGTTTTTCCAGAAAAAACA